AAAATTGAAAAAAAAAAAAAAAAAAAAGAAAGAAAAAAACAATTATTAATGATATGATTTTTATTGTAGAATAACATAAGAATTGAATTATGTAAGATAAAATGGGTAAAATGCAATTAATTTCTTTTTATCAGAAATAAAATTATTTTTTTTATCAATTTAGGAAATAACAATTCAATTGCATAATTTTAGATGGGCCAAGAGGATCTCTTAGAAGACTACGGTCACAATTGGCTGAAGATGGTTGTCCAGAATCTCAAGTAGTTTTAGCAAAACAATTATTGGAAGAAAGATGTGGTAACAATGCAAATTTTTATTTATATTTAAATTAATATATGAATTTTAATATATTTAATGCATTTTATTAAAAATTAAAAATTATTAAAAATTAGTGATGTAATATAAAATATTACATATTAATATAATTATATATTCAGATTTAGATGTGGATAAAGAAGAAAATGCAAAATTGGGAGTATATTGGCTTACAAAAGCTTCAGAACAAGGAAATTTAGAAGCAACAGATATACTTAGAAAATGTTTAGCCACTGGTCGAGGTATCACACAACATAATTATTATGATGTTAAAAGTTGTCTTGATATGACTCAAGATGAAAAATTAGCCAGAAAAGCAGCAAGAGAAATGTTCACTAGGTATTTTATTATAACATAATAATTTTTTTTTATATCTGTATGATTTGTTAATTATAATATTTATTGATAGTCTATCAAATGGTGAAGATTTTATCACAACAGAGCAACTACAAAGACGTATGAAAGACATAGCATCAAATTCATCTAATTATAATTGTTCTTATTCAAATAATGTGTTACACAATAATTCACAGAAAGATATAAATGATATTTCAACTGATAATTTTCCTAAAAATGGGCTTCCTGAAGACTGTACACCTAAAAAGGATGAAGATAAAGAAAGTAATAACCATGGTAAGGACAATATTCTTATAAATATAATAAACGCCAAGATTTATTTATGGAATTATTTTTTAGATTGGATGGATCATCAAGGGGAGAAAATTACAGAAGCAGCTCTTGTTTCTGCTGCTGCTAGTTATGCTCGTGGTATGCTCCCAATAGTTTCACATGCTATGTGTATGATAGATCGTTCTCAAATGGCATTAGATACTATACCATTGTTACAAAGGCCTCTTATTCATCCACTTGCTTCCTTGAAACGTTTGTATATTTGGTTGATAGAAACATTAGGTCAAAGAGGAATGTCAATTAAGAAGATTCTTTTTACATCAAATACCCATATATTGTTACTTCTCTTATTATATTCATTATTTGGTACAGAAAGTCTTATACTTTTTATACCAATGGCTCTATATTATTTATCTTTTATTATTATGGTTATTGCTACTTTTCAAATGTTACAACGAAAACGTGAATTTAATAATTTTCGTGTTTGGTCTGGCTTATTCCTCAATTATTCCGGTGGAAATCTAAATCCCGATGAAGCAGAATATCAATTTTGCTGTAATAATCTTAAACCTTATGGTCATTTTTTTCTTGCTTTGCTTGTAAATTTAATGACCTATCCTATTATTGCTCATCAATGGACACCTCAGTCAGAATTTACTATTATAGCAGTTGCATTAACATTAATAACGTTGTTAAATTTTATGTGGAAAGATTCTTCCAAATTTCCAGATTTTTTAGCTCTCTTCAGTTTCGGTGTTCATGTTTTAGCAAAGTATCCATATGAAACAGATATTGTAGTTGCTCAAGGCTGGAGATTTTTGGATATAAGAGTTCCAACATTTGCTTCATATGTTGTTGGTAACGGTATCGAATTTTGTTTGAATTTTCGTGCAGTTTTTTATCTCCTGATTCCAGCAGTATTCGCAAAAATGGCAGCTCGCGATAATTGGCGAGGAACCTATCAAACTTTGATACCTCATTGTGTTACTTTAAGTTGGTGGCAAATAGCGATATTTAGTTCTCAAGGTGCAACATGGTATGGCCTAATTAGAGGTGCTCTTGCATTAGTTGGTATGGTTCTTTTTTTACCACTTGCTGGATTAGCCTCTATTATTTTGCCAATCATAGCTGCTGCTAAATATTTGTCAGAAAGTGATTTAGCAATGAGAATAGGTGTAACTACTTTATTGGGAGGAATGCCATTTCTTGCCTCTTGGTATTTAAGAAAAACTCGAACTCCCAAACTTAATTGGATAATTACTGTTATTCAGGTAAATATATTAATTGAAGAATTACAATACAACTTTTAATTGCTATAATAATTTCATAGTTAATCATGGGCATCAGTGCTGGTATATTTTTATCATGGCCTATGATAATGGAATTCAAGCAAGAACCAGATTCATATGAAAGCGTTTCATCACTTTCATGGGAACAATATCAAAATCATTGCCATCAGCCTGCATGGGAAGAGTTATCATCCAAGGCACAGGTGCAAATTCAATGTGCTGATTTAGAAGGAATATTAATTTCATGGGAAGGTTATGTAACAAATATTAAGTTAAAATCGATAAAAAATAATATAGCTGCAATATTTAATAAACTGCCTGATAGTATTAGAAATATAATTAGCTGTATGTATGGTGAACCATATCTAAATAGTTGCGATTCGAATGATAAATTAAGACAAGAAAATTGTAGGCATTTTGCAAGCATTCAAAAACGAAGAAACAAATGTTACTTCCCTTCTTGGAATCAATATGAATTTGAGATTTCAGTTAAAATGAAGAGTGGCATGTGGGGAAACAATGCGGAAATTTTATTAGTTGCGGATCATTCTTTTACTAATTTTAGTTTAAATATATATCCAGGTGATAAAATTTGGTTTTCCGGTACACTCTTAAATAATGGATTAAAAGATGAATCGTTACTCGGTGGATCTGAGCCTCATATTGCATTAGAAGAAATTGGTTGTCTTGCATGTCACTCTATTGATTTAAAATCTTACAAACGTTACAAATATCATATAACGATTAGTTCGATTTTAAGTGATCTCTATTTAGGTATAAAAACTGTCTTGAATTTTTTGTTGAATCCTATCGTAATGTTTAAATAATCGCATTATATGCGATTATGAAATGTACAATATCAAAAGTCTTTTGAATACAAAAAATATTCTGAATTTCCCTTTCAAAAAACTA